CTTGAGCCCTCTCACTTCAACCCCGGCAATCACATGCAAATTCACAACCCAGACCGTAGACGCCCCAAGCTCCCATCCCTCCTCCATTCATCCATCCCCGGGTAACTTAAGGGAGGCAAGCTACTGATCCACTATTCATCCCAGCTGCAACTCATCCCGCATGGATAGTCGTGAGCATGCATGATGGGTTCTAGTGCAAGACTCAAGTCCGGATAACAAATGGCCGATACTTAAGGTAACCTCCCAACTGAACTGCGGATCAACATCCCAATCTCATCGCCACCATCTTCACTCACAAACTACGGTACCACGTTCTTGAAATTCTCCCTCATACGTGTTTTCAACAATGTAATATCAATTTGTGCTATAATTCTCAATCAAGCAGGCATGCGCCTGATACCGCTCAGCTAACAACACATCTCCGTCTCAATACCAGCGGAAAGTTCTCCCATAACTAACAATCCCCAACGTTTTCCTTGTGCCAAAACTCCCGAATCACTATACCGAGCGATTAAGCAGCATCGCTTTCCGCCTCAGGATATCCCATATCTCTTGCGAAAGCCAGTCTAACAGCCGATAACCGAGCCCGTATTGCGGTTCACGGTCAATGAGAAAAGAGAAGGGGAAAAAAAAAACCAAACCAAGAGCCTAAACCCCATGACGCCGTTTAGTCGGTCATACGCAACACCGACCGCCATTGGATTCCTCAACCGCAGTAGTATCTCATTTCAATACAGGTGCTGCATGTCTGGATTCTTTCCCGACAGCCATTTGTAGAACTTGGTCGCTTGAAGCTTTGCTCCGCGTTGGCTGCCCGTCAACGAGTTGGCCTCAAACACCAGCTTCTGCTCAACCTTCTCGCCCTTCTCCGTCTTGAGCTCCAACTGTACAGTCGTTCCCGCCATCTTTGCTGCCTTGACCAGACTAGCATCCACAACGGCCTCCATGCCGTCTTCTTGCTTGCTTCGCACGATGCTGCTCGATTCGTCCTCGGCGTGGAAGCGCAGGAATTTTCCCGGCTGCACCCAGTGCTGACTGCCCTGGTGAAACTCTGACACGTCGATAAAGTTCTCGACATCTCTCTTGCCTCCTAGAGCAGGAGATGCCGCTGCACTTCGGTCGATGAGAGGCGATTGAAGCGCCGCAGGTGTGACCCGAGGTGACTCCGATGCCCGAACTGCACGCCACTGCTCACTGTTGACCAAGCTGGCGTGCGTCAACACCTTGGGAGTGCTACTACCCGACGCAGTGCCGTTGCTCGTGCTGATGACCACCGTCTGCTTGATCGCCCCTCGTTCCTGGTCATCGTGAGCACTGCTGCTGCTCATGCTCGCGATGCTCATGCGAGGATCAGGTCGGCGAGCAGCGCTCTCGCCGCTGGCCGCGCTAGCGCTCCGCGGAGGCTGAGGAAACGGGCCGTTCAACGCCGGCGACGGTGCCTCTTTGATACTCTTCGTCGAAAGTGCGGGCGAAGGCTGCTGGCTAGCCCTCGTCATTTGGTCGAGATGAACACCTTGACTGGGCTTCTGAGGCAATGGGTGTCGGAGTGGCGCTGGCTCAATAACGCCTGGGGACGACTTGGATGGTAGAGGCCGACGGGCTGCATTTTCAGAGCCGGCTGTGTCGTTGACCAAGTCTGCAATTTGCAGCTTGGGGCTTACACGGGGAACTTCCTTGTTGAGGTTTGGCGATTTGGAAGCAGCCTTCATCGCGCTCTGGGCCAAGCTTGCCATTGATGCTTGGTCCATCGGAGACTGGTTCTCGCTGTCTTGCCGGGGCTTTGCATCCTCTACCGCCGGATGCGCGCTATCTTGAGCATTTGGTCTCTGAGAAGCTTTACTCCCCGCAATCTCAGTAAGTGCAGGCCGCTCAGTTGCCGATATAACCGTCGTCTGGCTCGAGCCTGGTGATACGGTGCTCACAGGCGCGCTGCCATCAGGTTGAGGAGCGGAATTAGGAAATGAGGTCGGCCCGTTCACAGCAATCTCTGCGGATGCTGACTGAGGTGTTGCGGGGGTTCCCAGGGCGACCGCAACACGTCCTCCATTGGTGTTCGCAGTGACGGGTGTCGCGTTCTCCTTGCTATCGGTTTGATCCTTGGACGGCGTTACTTGGACAGCATCGTCCATTGCCACATCATCCCCATCGACCACCGTCTTCTCTTTCTTGGCCGACAGACGAGTGCCAGCAGCAGCTCCAGATCTCCCCGTCATCCAACCATTCTCGCTCAGCCGCGACGTAGGCCGCACCTCCTGAGTGCTCCGCCTGAGAGGCTGCTGAGGCGTAGTTGGGCCCTCGTCGATATCCGCCATGTCGTCATCTGAATCCTGGCCATTTCGGCGCTTCGGTTCCACGTAGTCTTCGTCATCCGAATCGTCAGCTGGAGGAGGATTGTCGCCAAAGTCGTACATGTCAACATCGGGTACAGGGTCCGAGTCCGATGCCGAAGCAAACGACGGCAGCTTCGCGGGAATTGTCCCCGTCGTCGCCGTCTCTGTCGTCGACTCCAATTCTGCTCCTGCCGGTGATTGACTTGCCTGCACATGGGCCAGCATGGCCTCGAACGAGTCGTACCCACGGATCTCAGCATACTTCTTTCTCGCGTTGTTGGCCGGGTCCAAGGGATCGGTGGATCGGTCAGGGTCGTCAAGCAGCAAAGGCTTCAGAATGAATTTAACGCCAAGCCAACCCAATCTGGTGTTGCCATTCTTTTCAAACCACAGAACGGGGACATCCCTATCCAACTCACGCGGCTCGCCATCTCCGTAACCAGGCGCCCAGCCACCAATTCCTTCGTCATTGTACGTATAGCACGTAGGCCTGATCTTCTTATCGCAAAGCTGTGTGTCGCTGAGCCAGCCATCCCATCCGCACATCTTCAAGGATGTCCAGCCCAGTATCATAACAATGTAGAGCTTGTTGCTCCTTGGCCATTTTGCGTGGTAAATATCACCCGGAATTGGATTCATAATGTGATCCCCACCACGTTGCTGCTTCTCCTCCTGTGATCTCGATTCCAACTTCGTTTGGTAAGGTCCCGCGCTATTGGGGGTCGCCTGGAATGATGAATCGGAAACTGAAGGGTCCCTGACAGGAGCCATCGTGTGAGCGGCCGATTGTCGTTTGCCACCGGATTTCGGGCCGTGCAGCTGGTTCAGGGGCTTGTAACCATTTTCGAAAGCAAGGCGGACACATTCGTTGTTCATTGCAGCGAGCTCCTCCGTACAATCCACGACGTGGAATCCGATAGTTTCGACCGCCAACTTGTGCTCCTTCTTCTGATGACCATGGGAAGCGCCGTGGAGGTGCTTGGCTGCCGCTGCGAGTGCATTCTGCTTGAAATGCACACCGTGTTCGTCGCATCGCAGAATATAGAAAACGTCCTCAAATTTGACGATGTTGTGCTTGTATTCCGCTTTGCCGTCCTGGTAAACTTCGGCAAAGGTGATCGTCCTGGGAGCTATTGACTGTGGCGTATCAGTTCTTGCGCGCTTCGGATCTGCATCTCTAGATGACATGTCGCTGGCATCCGACTTCCTCTTGGCCATCTTATGGCGGTCAGAGTGGGAGTCTACAGAATGTCTCAACCCATCTTCCGCTCGTAACATGGCGCCTTGCGCAAAGTTTCTCCCATCACCCGCCTGTAGTCTATCCACGCGAGAACCCATGGGGCCAGCATTCATGGGCGGCAGAGGTACCCGGTTACTACGATCAGCTAGGTTGTGCTGAGTGCCATTGACAGGCTGTCCAGACCCGGCTCTCGGAGGGCCGTAATGATTGCTACCCAATGTAGGAACATGTGGTTGCGAAGGAAGCACCCGAGGGGCACCGTTTGTCACCGGGTTGTTGACTGGCCGATTCGGGTGATACAAGGCTGAAGTTCGAGGTGAGACCTGCTGCTGGCCAGGTTGGTTATGGTGAATCCAGGCCTGTCCTTGAGTTGGGTGGCCCTGGTTGACCTGCTGTGACTGACGACTTTGGTGGTCGAGTTGAGACGGCATCGGGGCCGAGCTGCCGTGGCCGGGCATTCCGTTTGTCGGCCGCTGCTGAATAGGCTGATTTGGCACCATGGGGCCTTGTGGTAGGGGCTGACGTGCCTGCTGGGGAGGTGTGCTCATCGGCATGGTTGAAGGCGAGCCGCGCCCAGCTGGACCAACGCGCGCGCCAACAATCTGAGCCGACGGGTTTGTTGGCGTACGTCCCAGCATGCCAGCGTTTGGGGGATAACCGGTGTTGCGTATAGAGTAGTTGCCGGGCACGGGGAAACCTATGTGATGTTCTCGAAGAGCGTCTGCCTCGCGTCTTGCGCGGTCCTTTTCCTCGACATCACGCCTTTGCTGACAGGCGGCATATCGATGGGATCGGAGTTCGTGCTGATACTTTTGAAGAAGCTCGCGAGCTTTTTGTGGCAAATTTAACGTGTCGGCGAAGCGGGCCTCCTCGTCGAGATCGTGGCAGGCGTCACGCTGCTGCTGGGTGAATTTGGCGTTTATATTCTCCTTTTCAGCCTCAAAGCGGGCTTTGAGCGCTTCGAACTCTGCAAACCAGCGTTTACGGTCTTGGTCTAGATCCGATTGACCATTTTGCGATATGGTCGCAGTGGAAGATGAGATACTCGCCATGACCACAAGATGGAGTTTGCTGTACGAGGATGAGTGTCTGTCTCGTCCGCTCGGCAGAAGTTTCAATCAAGGTCTCTGCTGATAGTAGGTTGACCGACTGACTCAGTTTGGACGACCCATGCCCGAGACTCGGCCACTACAAGAACCTATTTCAAACATGGCATTAGATACTGCATTTCAAGATATATCAACCCTGCGGGTCAACGGCATTACGCAAGAAGAAGGTGGTATATCGGTCATGTCAGTACCTCTGTGTGAGTAGGGTCGAATGGAGTATTATCCACTCAGTGACCACAATGAAGTAGTCTACCCAGAGAGTTTTCCTATGCGATTCGTAATCCGCAAAACGAAGGACGGATAATGTCGATGATTAGTCACTTAGTCAGGGTGGAACTCTTGACTAGAGCTTGCAGACGGATGCGATATCCTTTGCAACGGCAGCAAGGAGGTGATCCGTAAAGCAGTATGCCGCAGAGGGTTCGGGCGATGAGACTCGAAGACGACTCTGAGACAAAGGGAATCGTGAGATGAAGAGTCGACAAAAGGCAAAGAGAAAAAAAGGTGATGGGGCCTCGCTCGGTGTGTAGTCGTCAAGATGAAAGGGACTTTGGCGTTGGTAGGCAGGCAGCGTAGGCAGGTGCGGCGGTGGTAGCGAGAAGTCCGGTCGTGGGTGGAGTTGTGTAGGTGGCAAGTCAACGACGTCTGCCTATTGGGATTGCCTGTATGGATAGTTCGTACGGACACCTGCTCGGTCCCGGTTAGGATAAGTTGCCAGGCAGAAATAGAGTGAAAATGAATTAGATCCAGATCCCAGATGCAGAGATGCGGGACCCCTCGTCTATCGGTATGGTGGTGATCGAAAATAGAACTGGGAGCTGTCAAGGGCGCCAGTACTTGCCACTTGGAAAGGTGAAGTCGTTTGGACCGGGGGGTGTGGGAAGGCGCAGAGTTTGGGTGTATGGGAGGTGAAGAAAAGATGAAAGAAACGAGGGCGCGTAGTCGGTAAGAAGGCGGTAGAAGGATGACAAACAACAAAGGGTAAGAAGGAAGATGCAAACAGCGAGTGACTGTGAAGGTGAAGGCGAAGGTGACCAGCGATGACTGGTGATGGATGGATCTGGAAGATGAATGACGGACAAATATGTTGGGTAAGATGGGTCAAGGTAAAGAAAGACAGGCAAGGTAAGGTAAGGTGAATAGTACCTAGGTAGGTACCTCGAGGTGAGGCGAGGTAAAGGATGGGAAGGTACGGATATGGGGAGGGCAGGTATGGAAGGGCAAGGAGTGGAAAGAAAGGAAGGAGGGAAATTAGTCCATTGTTTTGGGAAAGAGCAAATGCTGTTGGGCCTGCCAATGAACGGCATTACTACTACATAATAACCGCCAGCTAACGTAGAATGACAGGTGCGCCTCTGCCGCCCGTTGCTTCCTCTCGAGTCTTATCATGCCATCATAGACAAGGTGAGGAAGGACCAACCAGACCGGGGAGTAAAGGTAAGGTAGGGTAATGTAGGTAAGGACTGTAAGGCAAAGTGAGGGTAAAGGGAGAGACTGCGTACAATACCTTACTGGGTAGATAGGTACCCGGTAAGGCAAGGTAAAGCAATGGGAACCGCTCAGCGCCAAGTACGTACCTGACTTGCTTGCTGTTCTACTGATCCTCTGAGGTATTGGCAATCAGCCAGAGCCCGTGCCAACCGAAGAGAGAGAGAAAGAACGATCCTACTTTCTGTACAACAAGCGAGGTGTCCAAATTATCCCTACGAATGAATACTCATAGGGGGGAGGGAGATGGGTGTACGGTGTCTAAGCAGGAGTGTGTAGCAAGACAAGTGGAATGAGGATGGGCCGAGAAGAATGATGAATACTTTAAAGAAGAGAAAAGCAAGACCAGCATACCGTGTGGAAGTACCCGTATCCGTAGGCAGAGTGCTCATTTGGTGGCTACTTGTACCAGACCAAGCTAGACTAGAGACAGCTGGAGTAAGGTACGTCTGACTGGGCTAGAGTGTGCATGTGTCGTGAGATAGATAATCTGAGAGAGCGTGTGTGAGGTGTGTTGTGTGTCAAGCACATGCAAGCTGTTTCTGGGGGGAGGGGCTTTTTTGGTTTATCAGCGCCTGGGTACTTTGCGCCGTACGGATACCTTTTACGGATACAGGAAATTGATTTATTGTCTGTCTCTTTTTTTTTCTGCTCCTCCGCTTGCCTTTAAGGAAAGAGAGACATTGCTCTCTCAGACCCGGCTGGGATTGGACGACCCTACGGCCAAGCGTCTTGGAGGGATCGGTACGTATCTGCTAAGTTCTTAACCCTTCTCCAGGCCACCTCACCTTCCTCCATTCACTTTGAGTTGCTGACACAAGGTACCAGGGTACGTACTACGTACACTTTTCTATGGCTGACCGCGTATCTTAAGTCCGCGCATCTCTCTCTTCACTCTCATCATCACTCCTGGTAGGTACCTAGGTGCATTGGTATTGGTCTCACTCTCACTCGCTCTCTGCCTCTCCATTTCTCAAACACTATTCTCTTCTCGCACTCTGATTACCTGAATCTCACGCAATGGAGCCATCCGCCGCTGCCCACCATTCATCGGAAAACCTATTCTGAAATGGACATAGCGTTCCGAAGGGCGGGTACCCCTGTCACAGAAGCTGCAGAGGTACATGCTTCACAGGCTCCCACTCACTCATTAAGGTACGAAGTACGGACGGCAAGGCGTACCAATCCATCCCTCCTCAACCGCGTATCCGTTATAATACCTTACCATACGAAGGTACGGAGCACTCGTACGCCCATGCCTAGCCTTAGCTACAGTGTTCCTATTACACTCGTGGCACGGTAGGCTGAATCCGTACTCCGTACCTAAGCTCCCCTTCAGCTCGGCGCCACGCCCACTCATTTCCAAGCCCGCTTCTCCAAAGACATCTACACACAGTCATTCACTGATGGTTCAACTTCCAACGAGTCCCAACTCATCCCAATCCATCTCGAAAGTATTGGACTGTGGCCGTGGCCTTCGCCTCGTAGTGTATTACACGTATCCGATTAGCCGAACATGTCCTCACCATTGGGCATCTCGTCGCATTAGGGTCCTCCTCAGCGAGGGCCCCCAAAACACGCCAATTCGCCGCTCTCAAACGCCGTCGGGCTCATACTTCCATGTTCCACCCCCCGACTTCCGAGTCCTTCATGATTATCTCCGGACCCGTTCATCCTTCTCGCTCTCGTGAAGGCAAGGCAGAAAAACTTTCAAGACACAAAAGATTGCCATCGATCCATCATCCCCGTGGCTCTAGCCTCTCAGTCGTCCCCCCCTCCCCCTCTCATACACCCGGGGACCCACCACCATCACCACACCATTGATCCCTTAAAGAGGGGGGAAAGCGAACCTGCTGCTCGCCTCTCACTGCTCGCTCGCTACAGGTCTCCATGGGTTCCATGGGCTCCAGCCTCCAAGCAGACGGGAGCAATCCGCACGGCATCTGTTTTGCGCCAAATCCCCGTATCACCCTGCGCCCCGCGCCCCTGCCAGGCTATGGCCAATGGCCGCCATGCTCCCATGATTATGTAGTTGGTGTATTACGGATACTCCGTTGTCCGTACTTTACCAGCTTACCATTGACCATCATCGTCACCAGTAAGTAATCGTACCCTGGCCTTGCGGCTTGCCATGCGTGCCATGCTATATGAATGACCACCCTAGTCGCTCACTTGCACTGCTCAGTGCTTACCTCCTCCTTATCTCATCTCACCTCACTTCACCTCATCTCATCTCATCTCATCACACGAGTGTGAGAACGTACATCACCGCCGCTCTTAACCTAACCGGCTTTACGAGGAAGCCGAAGCCTCGGATCGATGCGCAGCCACCTCACCCATCTTCTTCCGACTCTTCTCAAACACATTGGACTAAAAGACTGCATGGCAAAGTCTGGGCATGACTCTCCCACCGGTCTGACAGAACGTAATTCAGACTCAATCAGACCCTCACTGGCTAGTACTCCGTATCTCCGCGTACTCTACAGCCTAACTGGACCCGTGACTTGGCACCACTTGCAAGGCAGGGCATGGGTATATCGCGCCGTCATACAGTCCATAATAGCGTCTTTCATTGGTCTACCATTGAGCATTTTTGGTAATTTTCGCCCGGCGTCCCACGCGACTCATCACGGACCCCCTGCCAAACTATTACTTTCCTGGCGCATTTGCACTTTCACTGGGACATTGGATCAGCCTGTAAAGTCCGGGAGACGTTAGGTCGATCGGCATCGTGATCAGGGCCGTCGAACATTGGCTTGCTTGCACCTTGTTTCCCGCCCGCTTACGGAGTACAGCTTACCTTATTCCTCTGGGTAGCTCCCGAGATCCGCGTACCTTACTACTTCATACAAAGTACACGTTTTCACCCTCGGCTTGTCTTTCATCTAGCCTCTAGGTACTCCGTAGCTATGTTAATACGAACCGTGGTACAAAATATTCGTACAGCGCACGCACTAGGCGGTGGCACACACCCGACACCTGCCAACCACTCCCTCGTCCATGTTGCAGTTCAGTCGAGAGAGTTGCGGATTCAAATTCTTAGATGATGCCGCTATTCCAAGACGGACCATAATTCCGCGTAGTCCAACTCAAAACATGCCTTTTTATAATTTATCCCACTCGAAACCGCTCGCTCGCCGTGTCCGCGGCCCGCGTGGGATCTTGTCCGTGGATCCAATTACAACTTGAACCCCCCTTTCCCGGAAATGTATGCACGCACCATGGACCAAACCATGCGCTGCCGTCTGCCGTAGAGATCTATACCACGGACCCGTCGCCGTGCTTTTCCTTTCCACGGCTATCTTATCACAGTAGAGCGTAATTTGACTTTTGGCTTCCTCTCTAGCCATACGGAGTACATACGTACCACCTGATATTATGACCTTCTGCCCCCCCCCCCCCCCGGTGCCGTTCACCCTCGATTGTGAGCCGAACACACACACAGAGGAACATGGGCAAAATCAACTGATACTTGCTGGCCCCTGCTTGGCGTCGGACTGAATGCGCACTCACCTCACAGGCGCACCGGTGGCGCAAACGCCCAACCAACCAAACTAACACAGAATGCTTGCAATGCTTGTTGACGTCCTTACCGAATGAAGAAACTATTTCCACGATCCACCACCACTCAAAACCAAGCTTCAGGCACGCACACATCCTCCCAATCTGTCCAACTGTCCAACTTACTCCCGTAGCCCGTTTGCCTGCATCGTAAATTGTTGGCCCTTCTCAAACATTAAACTGCTTCCGGCGCCCCATTGTCCGTCTCAATGATTACTCATTGGTCCTTAAGCTACATAACCCGTTCCGCACAGTCATAAACTCTCTCTTGACAGGTCATTACTTTAGCCTTTCCATTCCTCCTCAAAGCCGCCTCACGATACCGATACCTACCTACCTGGCTCGGTATTCGTAGCAAAACTCTGCGCAACCCAGTGCAACTTCGTCCAGCTGAACCATATTGCTCCCCCGTTATCCGCCCTCTTGTCTATTTCTGTGACTCAATCACAATCTGGTGCAACTCTAATATCTACTGCGGACGGTCAGTCCGATATACCCTTACGCACCCGCCATTATTCATGCAACTAGGTGATAGAGTGTGCGCGCTCCGCAGTGCCTCTATTCAATGCAGCCAACGAGCGTTCGGTATTCGGAATCCGTGTGACCGTAGAGGTCCTGTCAGACATCAAACTACAACAATCGGTGGCTGTGGTTTGGATTTGCGTTCCTGAGACCTGAGTGAGCCGTGCATACCTACCGAGATACGTGTATCCCTGAGGCGTATCCGTACATTCCCCCCAATAGTACAACTGGCATGCAGAGCTTGACTCAAATGACGCCATTCACATCATGGATTACACATCCATAGTCAAGCATGACAGAAATCACGAGGCAGAAAGCAACCAAAGGTGGAGGAATGAAAGTCCGGACAGCCCGGCCTCCTGCAGTTCATCGGCCGCAAGGAAGGACCCCTCCATAGTAGCCGAGACTTCGTAATGTCGTACAAATCCGAGAATGGCATCCCCTTCAATATCGGTATCCCACAATATGGGGCCCAATCAAGGATCTTTTTTTGCGAAAGCGAACAACTCTGTAACTTTGAAGGGACCCGTGCCTCTACTGTACAAGTTTGGGGCGAACCAGTCCCCTCTAGGCTCTAGCATTTCTCTAACGCCCTGTCCAACGCAAGGTCACACACACGCACACACAGCCGAACGACGGAATTCGGCCTCCGCAACCCATATTGTTTTTATGCTACCTGTAACACTAACAACCTTCTGGAATGGGTGCTGGAGGCACAGAATGACTAATGAGACCG